CCTCTGTCACCCACCTCTGCCTGCCCCATTTATCATCATTCACCCCCAGACCTCCAGGGGCTGTGGAGGGCACTGCACCCCAGAGGATGACCTTGCCTGGCTCCCCTTTTTCTGGTCTCTGCCCCCAACCTTGCCTGGAAGAAAGCAATGCTATGTTTCAGGGAGCTTAGAGAAAGCAAAGGGACCCTGCCTTGTCTTGGCTCTCAGTTCCTCCCCGGCTGTTTCCTAGCAGTTCCTCCAGAGATCCTCAGAGCCAAGCCCCCCATACCCACACCAGTGACCAACTCCCTCCTTAGCACCTCTTGCCCCCATCACCCCTTTCAGCTCTTACCAGCTTTAATGGCCCCCTTCTGGCCCATCCTTCAACCCTCCCCACAAGGGATCCCACCAACAAGGAGCGCATGTAGGAGACGTCACCTCCGTATCTCTCTGCTTGTGTTACAGGTCAACCCCAGTCAACAACACACAGCCCTGAAGTAAAGAACCATACCTCAGGTAACGCTCATCTGGAGACCTAAACCTGCAGCTTGGGGGCATCCTGGCTTGTAACTGGTCTGACCTTCAGTCCAGCTGGGCCATCCAGCAAAAAATGGGGATGCACAGTGGCCAGTTAGATGGGAACTGTGGTGGGGAAGAAGGAAATTTTGTGGTGTAAGGGCTTCTGATCCAGCCACTTCACCCCAGAGGGATCAAGGCACAGGTGTGAGCAAGAACATGGAAAAACAAAAATCACTCAGTTCAAAAGGGAGAAGCAGGGCCACAACAGGAGAAGCCTGGGTCACAACCCAGGGAAAGCTTTGTCTCTTGTGTGCGCAAAGGATGCGACCACCCAGAGCCCAGGCAAGGAGCCAGGCTGTGCGGTGCCCGTGTTGCCACATCCTCCTAGCTGGCATCACCTGCTTTGCTTAGCAGCTCCTCCACGCGAGGACCATCGGTGCGTGCAGTCCATGCAAACACGGTGCCTCGCACACCAGCTCCAGCCTCAGCTCCTGGTGTCGTGACAGAAGTAACAGCAATGACATCAGTGTTGTAAGAGCTCCCCTGCATTACATTTACTGCTCAATGCTGCTCTCTTGACAAGCCTGACCCCAAGAGAATGTTAACATATGGAAATATTTACTTATAGAATAAGAAGATGGCTCAACTCTCAGATAAGCATGGAAACCTATACCAGAAACAACATAAAGATGTACATATATGTTTGCTGCTCGAAATCTCTCACATGGGAGCAAAAATCTGGATGGGTCTGGGTCCAGTCGCCTACGACTTCAGACGTCCATTTCATATAATCATTTCCATAAATTTACCAAAAAGGCCATAAACTCCACCTTAAAATGGTTTAGGTACTTTTGTACTTGCTTTCTGTATCAGATGGCTGTTACAGCCGCATATAACTCTGACAACTGAAAACTGTCTTCTGAATTTAGTGGACAAGCCTGACCCCATTTTTTTTTTTTTTTTTAACTAAAAACTTCCAGTGGTTTGCATACCCTCAGCACCTCCCGTACAACAGGTCAACATGTTCCCCATTTCTTCAAGAGGAAAAGGGAAGCATGAAGAGGCTTGTTCCAAACTGTACAATGTTTGTGTCAGCAGAGGGACTGAATGCTGCCTTAGCTCTCATTCAGTTATTCATGTTGGGGGTTTTGCTTTGTTATCTACCTTCAAGGAGACAGCAATCACTCGTGACGACAAAAAAAAATATTTAAAAGCCATATGAGCCCCTGAGGAGTTCCCTTAATTTATTCTCTTTTTTTCTCTTCTCTTCTGCTGAAACCAGCTTCAGGATGCTACCATGCGTACATGGCCACACAGAAGCCCTGGAAGTGGGCATAGGGAGGTGTTAGCAGAAAGTTAGATGTTTTGGTCTGAAAATACACAAAACCAAACACACAAGAAGGGATGTCTCCAACTCCAGATCCATATCTGTTAGCCCCCTTGGATCCCTGGAGACAGATCTCTTCCTGGTATGATTGGGGGGGAACGCAGAATCTTTCTAAGCATGGCTACCCCTCCAAAGGGACCCAAAAAATATAAAGGAAAAAGATGTCAAAAAGATCTCGGATTATGCTGCCATGCCTTGCAGAAAAAATAAACTTATCCCTAAATCAAATATTTTGGTGAAGCATTTGGATAAAATGGAAAAAAAAAAAAACCCTTAAAACCATGACTCTTTTCTCAATTTTATTGGAAAGCCAGGAGAAGTCTGGACAAAGAACTTGCCTATAAATTCCAAGCTAGTGATCCACTCTTCCTTGCAGAAGGAAGCTTCTTCCCCCCACATCTTGCTCTGGATCAGGTTCTTGCTATGCAGCTTTTGAGTAGCAGGTTGAAGAAGGTGACAGAGCCTGCAAACCACTGCAAGAACTGAATTGTTTGCACTTAGAGACACTCAGTGAAATGAAACATAAACGTTTGCATCTCAGATAACAAGCAAACACACCCATGGGGGCCGGCAGCTCTAGCCAGTGAAAGTGTCCAGTGAAAAAAAAAAAAAAAAACCTTCAAAGTTGGGAAAAAAGTGGTGGCAAACCCCAGACTTTCTCCATGAGTCTCCTGAGCTCTGCCAGCTCAGCACCTCCATAGAGTAAAAAAAGCAAAAGCTAAAGCCAAAGCATAAGAGCTCCCTGACTCTGAGCAGGACAAAGACTATTTCCTTGTCTACTCATGCCTGTACTTTCCCTAGCAGATTATCCATAACTCCCAAAGAGTCTGAGGACTCTCTGCAATAGCCATGCCCTCCTCCAAGCTGTTTCTGACAGAACTCCTTTAAGTAACACCATGCTTCCTCTACAGAGCCTGCAGTAAAAGCAACACCACCAACCAACTTGAATCTCACCTCTGCAGGTCAAGCTACTACAGCCAAATCCTCTTCCGTCGCTACAACACTGCTAGCGTTGACTGCGCAAGGTAAATATGGAAAACTTCAATTTTTGCTCAGGCACGACCTGTTTATGCATCCCTTCTTGTCCAAGCAAAACTGGGGGCCTCAGAAAGACTGGGCTAGTCCACACCATGCTACTTACTCAGTCGCAGCAACTTTTGAATCTCTCCGAGTCTTTGCTAAAAGAGCAGCTCATTCCAGCTCTGCAAAAGCACAGGGCTAAACACAGCCATGACCGAGATGTGGCAACCACACAGCAAGCCCATAGCAGAAAAGCCAGATCACGCTTTACCAAGTAATGCTACAGGCACCCCAGCAGACCTCTCCCAACTCACCTCTCCTGTACGCTCTCTAAATTGACTGCACAGCTCACTAGCTGCACATCTTGACATTTATTTGCAGGGAAAGTCTCATGCAAAGTTTTTTACCCCATGGAAACCCAAGAGCATAGCACAATCAGTAGCAGCTTCAAGAGTTAAATCTCCTTTCCCATGTTTTCTTTATCCAGATGAGAAGTCTAATGGAAGCAGAAGCACAGCAGCTTCACCACCACAAGGTACTTGTCCTTTTAGAAGTTTTGATAATTTCATGGCAATTGGCTTACTTGGTTCACATGGCGCAAATTATCTAAGCACTAGTCTTTATCTTGGGGCTGAGCCATCAGTGACACCCAAAATCATGTCTGGTATCCTTACAAGCAGTGGTAAAACACAAGACCAAATGCACTCAGCATCATCTGCCTGGGATGAACTTGAACAGCTGAAAGACTGATCTGTGTTTAGGAAAAGGGAGCCCTTTTAACAGCCTTTCAAAAAAAAAAAAAAATCATTTTGCTTTTGACGGTTTCCTTAACCCACCCTGTAGGCAAAAATTAGAGAATTCAGTAATAGTTCTCTCAGAATAAGGGCAGAATCCAAGTGAGTGGGAAGGCTGAAATCTGACAACTGAGCCAATTCCCCATTAAAGATTCAGTCTCAAAAATCTGCAACAGTCAAGACAAAAACTGCTCTGCCTCTCCAAGCACCTCTCAGATCTTCTCTAATGCAAGCAAGGTTAAAAACCCGTGGTCAGCTCTGCCTGCACAGATGTCCAACCAGCAGGCCTGTGCCCAGCTAAGCCAAGAGCCCTTTGCATCAGAGCAGATTGCTATTAATTATAACCCTGCTTTACAGCTGAAAAGCTCCATACATCTTTGACTATAGAAATGTTGCTGATCCTTCCAAAAGCAAGGTCTCCTGTGTGTGAGACCCAGCATTTCCCAGGGATGGGGTATCCACGCCAGGCTCAGCAAACCACAGCTTCTGCCCACCCCCCGTGGCTAGAAGAACAATTTCAGAATGAAACACAGGGTTTGATAGCTGGTGAAAAAATTGTACAGCAGTAGTCCCTGCTTCTGAGGACTGTTCTGCTCCATGTGGTTTCTGCACCAGTTACATTTGTTATTTCATACCTTTTCCCCTTTTCATGCTGTTTCCCCTTTTTCTTCTGACTTTTGGCAAAATTACATTCCGAAACAGCAATGTTTTCTGCAAGACAGGAACCCCAGTTTCAGCTGTGCACCCTGTGTTCCACTGCAGAGTGCCAGGAGCTGTTTCCCACTTCTTCAAGCAGAACATACTTTTGGCCAATGCCACCATTGGGAAGGCGGGGATGGGAAAGAAAGAAAGATCTTACTTGACCTACAGACGATCTTCTGCAGCTTTGAAGTACCATTTTCAGTCTCCTGACAGGGCTGTAGCTGTTCGTTAATGTTAATGCAGATAATCTGGCTATTCAACACATATCCAGGAGGCAGCAAGGGATTTTTTTTTCTCTGTACAAGTGAAACACACGGGCTACCCTTAAACTTGCTTGCACAGGCATTGGAAGCAGATGTCACAAACCAAACAGCTTCACGTAAGCCAGTTTATCCCACTGAGAACTGGAGGCCTTGCTTGAACAAACCTCTACGCTGCCACAGCTAGACTACATATGGTGTACAAGTTAGCCCAACTCAAACTAGCTTAATTACTTCTAGATAACCCAGGACAGCATAGCGAATAATTCCAAGGACAAAGACAAGCTGAACAGTCAATCCACACCCACAATCTGCAGAATTTCTTCCCTTAAGCAGATTTTTATTTTAAAGTCTCAAGGTTTATGAGCAACAGCAAATCTATAACCTTCCCAGTTCACTCATCCAGTATCCATTGCTGTATCTGCCCAAAAACTGCATCTGGGACTGCAGAACCTGAACAGTTTATACACGGGTATTTGCATTTTGGTTCCCTGAGTTTCTATTTGGACATGGAAAATAGTACAAGGTATGTTTGGTGGGAAGGTTTTAGCCCAGTACAAATTCCATGTTTTCCCAGATACCTCCAGCATTACTGTGAATCCATTCTCCTCTCCAGCATGCCCACTCATTCTTTTGGTTATTTGATGACACTCAAGGACAACACTCACATTCTGCTTTTCCTCTATGCAGGTCAAGAGCCCAAGAGAAGTGAGAGTACCACAACACCAGCAACTCAAGGTGCTTTCCCCTTTCTCTCCTGGAGGGATGAATACTGCTGGATATTTTATAGCCCTTTTCATAGCCAGCAGCAAGGCTACTGCTGTCTTTCAGGCAGTATGGTGAACCTGATGGATGCTGGCCATCCCATCTGGCCCTTGAAAAGCCTGCAAAGCTCCACAGAAGCAGCACTTTGGGGCAACCTGTTGAGCCTGGGAACAGTGGTTGTGAGTCACAGACGGAAAAGTGCCACTATGGCAAAAGGTTGTAAGAGGAGGAAGGCAGGACAAGCCTCCCCCCACAGACACACTGCCAGAGAAGTCCTTCACCCGTCACGCTCAGCTTCATCACTAGGGCCCCAGCAGAAAACCCTGCGGGTGTTCTCAGATTGTCGATAAAAGGGGCCACGCCAAGGCAGTCCGATTCCCACCTAGGTCTTGGTCACTTCACTGTTAACCTTGATGGGGCTGGCCAGGATCCAACCTTAATCTCTTCAATAAAGTGCAAGTGCGAGTTAGGTCCTCTAGCACTGCTAGGAATCCTCTTCCCAACCTTGGAAGAAAGACTTTTACATAAAGCTACCTTTTTCCCCTCTTGTAGGCACTTCAAAGCCAGTTACCCCAACACTGATGTCCTCTGGCTACTTGCCTGTGCCCACTCCGACAGACGATAAATCACCGCTGACGGTGGCAGCTTTTGGTAAGGTCTTGTGCAACCTGGAGAGAGGATGGGGGTCTGTTTCGCCAGGCCACGCTGTTTTGGACACCCAGCTTCAAAGATGCTCCACAGTTTTCTTCTTCAGCATGCCTGATCCTGGAGTTTTCAGAGTGCAAGGGAAAACCCTCGAGAAAAAGACCTGTCATGAGCAGGCAATAAAGCACCTAATAAATACTCCCAGCCATGCCCAGTACACAAGGGACAATTTGAAAGCCCATCATGGTTATACCTGAGCTTAGTGTCTTGCTCCTAGCCACCAGTGTTTGCCCCAGCTCCACGTTGGGACAAGGCCCAGGCACAAATGATCCCATGCTATGCCTTAGTTTGCCCAATAGGGTCTAAAATAAATACGCTACCCCACCTGGAAGCTTAGCCAATTTTTTTTTCCCTGCAAACCAGTTGGGACTGCTTTCCCACCCTGCCTTACGGCCTTCCCCTGTACAGCTGCACCCTGCTTGCCAGGAAGCAGCCAAGTCCTCCGCATCCTTCAGACTGTGGAAGGATGGAGCAAGAGATGCCATACCTTAACCCGACAATAGATTTGAAGGTAGGCATGGTGCAGATTTAAGATACCCACTCTGTCTTGGGCTATACCGTCCCGCTCCTCCATGAAGGCAAGTGAAAACCCCAATTTGCTCATTTCTATCACGCCATAGGAAAAAGTGTTATTTCAGAAAGATTTTTAAAAGTCAAGTGTTAACTTTATAAGTATAATATGCTTATATCCTCCAAGGGAAGCCACGAGAAGTCCTGAAGCAGTCATAAGAGGACAAGATTCCCGTGCAAAGAATAGTTTTAATTGTCGAGGCCAGATGTATGAATCACACCTGCAGTTGGCCACCGGTTTATGAGACAGATAACATCACTCACAGTCTTTAGCTTGTCTCTCCCTGTTACATTACTTATTTACCTGACTTTATACACCTTTAGAATAAGCTTTACCAACTACAGTAGGGACATACTGACTTCAATCAATCCCCAGTGTCATCAGCTGACTTTTACCCTCCTGGCACTGCCTTACCACTTAAGTGTTCATCAGAACCCTTTGAGGCTAAAACACAAGAGGATAAAGGCATTTGCTCTAGTGACTACTTACTTCTCTGCCTATTACGTACTGTGCTCATTTTAATGAAAGTATTGATTTCCTACCCAAGTTTTGATGTCAGTCAAAGTCTCTCTGCTAATCTGGAAGCCGAGGACAGGCACGTTGGAATATCAATCGCAGACAGTTCTTTCCTCCATCCCCAGGTGTCATCAGCTTCATAGTTATCCTGATAGTGGTTGTGATCATTCTGGTCAGCGTGGTCAGCCTGAGGTTCAAGTGTAACCGCTCAAAGGACTCAGAAGGTATTTGCCTGGGGCAATCTGTCTCTCCCTAATCAAAAAGTCATCAGTTGCTACATGGATCTGGCAATTCCTAAAAGATGCTTTTAAAAAGCTTACATGGTAGGGAGGTTTTGAAGCCAAAGGAACACAGATTCAGCAGTTAGGGATGTCGGGTGACCACCTCTTTAGAGGCCTAGCCCAGACCCATCTGCGCAAGGGAACAGTCTCAAATTTGCTGCAGTTAGATATGTGGATTCCCAGAGGCAGGCAGCTCTTCCAGCAAAAGTCACGGACTCTGACACTCCTTTTCCCTAGGAATCCCATTTCCCACCAAGCAGTGCCCACTAGAGGGCAAGGCTGCTCTACAGCAAGACAGTGACTGCCAAGAGACCAAAGGATGCCAGCAACTAAGCAGGCAGCCAAGTATTCAGTCCAGCCTGTACATCACATTAGTTGAAGAATTTTCTCTAATCCACTCTCAAGTATGGGGATATTAGAGACACTATGGTGTCTCTAATCTCATTTGCATTTCATTTATAACCCCATACAACGTAATTCTGAATATAGCAGAGTTATTTTATTGCTTGGCTGTGATGTTTTCACACTTGTACATCACTAACTGCTGTTCTCCCTCCAGACAAACAGAAACCGGGGTCCTCCATGGTATCAGAGAGGTAAGGCTGCTCACGCTACTCACATCCTATTGAAAATGCCTATTTTATTCCAGAACTGATTTTAGCAAGGAAAAGAGGCTGCTTTGGTTGTTTTGGGTGGAAGGAAGCATTTCAAGACATGTTTGAGACAGGTAAAAAACCAAAATGAGCACTGATAGCACTTCATCCTCTTCCTGATGGAGTCAAAGGTAGGAGCTCAATATTTAGGAGCCCCATTTCAAAGCTGCACAGGTATCTGTGAAGACTCCTCACCGGCCAAAAGCACTTTGCTTGTCTGTCTTTGCCAAGATACTGACTTGAGGTCTAAACCTGGGTTTCTGGATCTCAAAGACCCTCAGTGAGATGAGATTAGTCCCCAGAAATATCTCCCAAGATGCCTGTTACTGTTATCCAGCCAGAGCAGGATAAGGGGGCCCCAATCCAGAAACCTTTGGAATAGAAGCACCAAGCAGAGGATGGTCCATCAGAATCCCACGGTCCATCACTGCTACCCACGACGAGAGGCTGCACGTGAGAAAGCAGCAGGCAACAAGAGCTGGAAGGGACCAAAACGCTTTGCTCCTACTTTTCCACCTGATAGCTGCCTACCGAAGTAATAAACCTTGCTTTGGAGCTTTGGAAAGAGGCAAGGGAGGCTGCAGGGAGCAAAGTCCCTAAGTATTCACCTGCCAAATTTGCATCAACATCAATGGTTCACAAATACCCTTAATGGTCCTGGTCTAAGTGATCTGCAGCCACTGAGGCAGGACTTATCAGAGCAGAGGACTGTGCCCCCGAGGCACCAAAGTCACACGGTCTCCACTGGCACTAAATGCACATCCCAGCCCTCTGGGTAGGGAGAAAGGGGAATTCCACCTTCCTAACACTTGTAACTCTCACTCCCAAGAGCGATGTTGTCAATGCACAAGCAGCAGCATCAGATGTAAAAATATCCAGGGTTCCCTTTGTATGACAAGTAAGGGCATAGGACAGAGGGTCACAGTAATACTTCCTTTTGTTCCAGCTCCGGCTGCAGGGCTAGAAGGTAATTCGGTCACTGAGAACCAGATCCAATCTGCTCATCAGTTGCACCTACAAGCGGTGACACAGGTGACAATGGTGCTTTCTGTCAGGCAAACCAGCACCACATCCAAATTTGAATGCACTGCTTGTTTCTCCAGAGATCTCCCAACCTGTGTTCAGATGGGGGATGGGGACTTTGGCACTAAGGATGTGCCTGAATCGGGACAGCAGCTCAATGGGCAGCGTAAGTCAGCCCTGGTCCCGTGTGCCAGCCAGCCCCAGCCTTGTCAAGCTTGCTTCCAGCTGCACACAAAGAGACTCCCTTCTCTCATTTTCCAGAGCGGTTAATCCTGCCTTCTCTTCCTGACAGCTGCTCAGCAGGCACAAGCCAGAACAGCATCACTCTGATCTCCATGAAGAACATCAACATGAACAACAGCATGAGTTACCCACCATCAGAAAAGGTTTCCCTTTTAAGCCTCACTTTTTTAGAGTTAGCTGGGGATTATTTATCTTGCTGGATAAGACCATGCCTTTGAGTTATCTCTTTGCTATCAAATTCCTTCAGAAAGATAATAAAAACCAGCTGCCATGAAACTCCTAAAGGTCCAGAGTGGTTGCAGTGAGCCTGGTGAAACGTTTAGATGCCCATGTCGGGTTTACCCAAGCTGCCTGACCTCAAGGCTCAAGGCACCATGCATACCTCACATGTGTAGGTGCCATCACCTAGGGCCACCCATCAGACCTACAGTGGTTTGTCATTAAATGAAGAGGTAAATAAGCTAGACTTTGTGAGGTGAAGGTCTCGCCCTCTAGTCCAAGCTTACCGCA